CCTCCTCCTTCTCCTCCTCCTCCTCCTCCTCCTCCTCCATCTTCTCCTTCTCCTTCTTCATCACCACCATCACCACCATCGAGCCTCATAAAAAATGTGTCCGACTGCGTGCAACTCACAAGGAAGATCAGTTGCACAAAACCCTCAGCTTCGGGGAGTGATAGAGATGGGGGAGAATCTGGCTCGCCTCCTTTCCCTGGGCTTCACGCACAGCTGCTGGGAGTGGCAAACTGGGCTTTGGTTGGAATAAGGCCCGTCGCTCTACCGATAGGAGAGCAAGTCCCGACCGGCAACCAGCTGGCAGCGGCCGACACTGTAATGGTGTAATGGCGTGTGGTGCGCAGTTTGCCATTCATGCGCAACACCGTGGGTGAGGGAGAAGGACGAGAGATTTATGCGTGCAGGTGCGCACCGTCACTCTGCACCTGTCAGGATGCGGCCTTCGGCGGTGGTTCCATACCAACTGCTTGTTTTTTTGTTTTTATTTGACTTCACTGGTACCCCGCCTTTCCCCCCAAGCGGCTTAACATTGTTCTCCTCTCCTCCATTTTATCCTCACAACAACCCTGTGAGGTAGGTCAGGCTGAAAGAGAGACAGCACCTGGCCCAGTGCCACCTACTGCGCTTTATGCACAGTAGAGATTTGAACCAGGGACTTCCTGATCTGTAGTCCGCTTTCTTAACCATTATGCTACCCGTTATGTCTTCTCTGCTTGTTTGCTTCCAGCTACTGCTGCTCAGAGGTAGGCTGCCTCTGAATGTGGAGGTTCTATTTCACTAAATAGTCATTGTCGGAACTCTCTCCTCCACGAATTTGCCGAATCCTCTTTTAAAGTTGTCTAAGCAAGTGGCCATTGTTACATCCCGTGGCAGTGAGTTCCACAAGCTAACGTTCCCCGCGGTTCCCCTTCCTTTTGTGTCTCCGTAGGTCTTTGGAAGTGATCGCTGGCCTGGAAAGCAATAGCAAGATCTTCACTGTTTACGTCCATGGATTGCTGCAGCTACAGGTAAAGGGGTTGGAGCCGAAGTCGAGCTTCTGCCTGGTGATGCAAGACATTGAGCAAGGGCTGGGGAGGCAGACGGGAGAGACCTTAGAAGAACACATCAAAGCTCCTGCCCATTGTTAGAAAGAAAGGCCAATGTCTACAGTCTCTCTTTCCCCATTCTCTGTGTGACTTTGTTCCTTCATGAACCAAAAAAAAGAACACCACTTGGCAAAAAATAACTTACAAGCAAATAAGCAAGTGTATAATGATCAAATAAGCATAACAGCAAGTATAATGTAAATCAAATAAACATAACAACAAGTATGATATAAATCAATAGGCCAAAGTGCAATGATAAATCAGTCACAGTCTTCTCCAGCATAGAGGCAATATCGGAGTCCAAATTGGAGTGCCAATCATCAAATTTTCTGAGCCATCAAAAGCCTCTGAGCCATCAAAAGCCGACGCGTAATCCGGATGCCTGAAGCCGCGTTTCGAATTATTCTTATTCAGGTATGGCTGTAATGGGACCCAGTCTCAAAAGCTGGCATATGCTAAGCCAGGTAAAGGGGTTGGAGCCGAAGTCGACCATTCTGGCTTAGCATATGCCAGCTTTTGAGACTGGGTCCCATTACAGCCATACTTGAATAAGAATAATTCGAAACGCGGCTTCAGGCATCCGGATTACGCGTCGGCTTTTGATGGCTCATACTTGTTGTTATGTTTATTTGATTTACATTATACTTGCTGTTATGCTTATTTGATCATTATACACTTGCTTATTTGCTTGTAAGTTATTTTTTGCCAAGTGGTGTTCTTTTTTTTGGTTCTTGCATTGTACACTGGCTTCCCCCCCCCCTTTTTTTGGCTGCTTGTTCCTTCATGGCCCGGGGCTCTTCTGCCTTGGCAAGTGCAGCTCCATGCTAGGCCCCCAGTCAGCGGGGCCCCGTAGGTTCCCCTTCCTACAATCACTCCATAATATCAGGGCTTACCTCTTCGTCAGCCAGTCCTGGGTCAAACATGGGGGGGTTGCCAACTCTGGGTTGGGAAGTTCTTGGAGATTTGGGGGTGGAGCCCGGGGAGGGCGGGGTTTGGGAAGGGGAGGGGCCTTAGCGGGGTACAGTGCCCTGGAGTCCCCCCTCCAAAGCAGCCATTTTCTCTGGGAGAACTGCTCTCTGTATTCTGGAGGTCACTTGTCATTCTGGGGGGTTTCCAGGCCCCACCTGGAGGCTGGCAACTGTGAATGGGGATGATGTTTGGGATGACCCTGTGTGCTGCTCCTAGCAAGGGTTCCTCCCCCAATTTGCATGGGAGAAGCAACGGATGATCCTGAAGAGCAGAGACTGAACAGAAGCGTCCACCTCCAGGCCTCCCGATCGAATTAGGAAACCTTTTATTAAAGAGCCCTATCGATTAAGCCAAGGAAAGCTCGTATCCCCGACCTTTTCGAGCCTGTGGGCACCTTTGGGTTTCTGACACGGCATGGTGGGCTCAGCCACAAAACGGCTGCCGCGGGAAGTAGCCACAAAACGATTGCTGCAGCATCACTTCAGTCACACAGTGGAGATCTTTAGGGCGTGACGACAGCTGTTGCCGAAGCAACATTTTAAAAAATCTGTCCAGGCAATCAGAAGCCTTGCCGGGCAAAAGCCCCACCTGACCCCACCCACTTTCTAAAAACACCTGGCAGGTGCCAGAAAAGGTACCGGCAGGCACGATGGTGCCTGCGGGTACCGTGTTGGGGACCCCTGCCCTAATATCTCTTTCCTTCCCCTTCGCTCCCCTTGAGAGCCAGTTTGGCGTCGTGGTTAGGAACAGGGACTCTAATCTGGGAGAACCGTGTTTGATTCCCCACTCCTCCACGTGCAGCTGGTGGTGTGACCTTGGGTCAGTCACAAGTTTTCTCAGAGCTGTTCCCTCAAGGGCAGTCCTTGAGAGAGCTCTTTCAGCCCCACCTACCTCACAGGGTGTCTGTTGTGGGGAGGGGAAGGGAAAGGAGTTTGTAAGCTGCTCTGAGACTCCAAGTGAAGGGCAGGGTCTAAATCCAGTCTCTTCTCTTCTTCTTTTTGCTTCTACAATACAGGCAGGACAGTACACCTCAATATTCATAGATAACGGCGCCGGCGCACCGATCACCATTCAGAACGGGTCTGATTTCATGGGAATGTTCATGGGAGTCTAATCCTGAGTGACCGTCGTTGCCACACAGTGGGGGGAGAAAAAAAGCATATCCAAGAACGTACACATCTGAACTTCGACCCCTCTCCTCTCCCGGAAAACTGCCTTCTCGTTGCCAACGGACTGTGGGCATTCCTGGCTCTGTCGAGCAAGCGTACCTCCCTTCCGCCATGGGTGTGACAACAGTCTGAGGGGAAGGGGAAATGGTGGACCGCTCTAGCCACTGAATGCAGAACCCAAATCTGTTTCCCCATCATAGAAATGCCATCTTTTCTCCCAGAAAATGTTCATTTCTGAGAGCCAAGTCTGGATCCTTTCAGATTTATATAGAAACAACGATGCCAAAATCCAGGGAAATCCGATACGAGGCTTTACATATTTAGCATTGAGAGGCAGTGTGGTATAGTGGTTAGAGACTGGAGTAGGACTGGGGAGACCTGGGTTCCGATCTCCCCTTGACATATTGGGGTAGCCTTCAGCCAGTTGCACCGCCTTCCAAATCACCCTTCACGGAGTTGTTGTGAGGAGAAAACAGAGAAGGGGGAAATCACAGACACCGCCTCGAGCTCCCCAAAGAATGGGTGGATTGAAAATGCAACCCAGTTTTAACGTTTCCCTTTTTAAAATTTTGGTCCCCCTCCTCCTCCCCGGTTTGGTTGCCGACTTTTTAAAACCAAGTTTTCAAAGGCAGCTTTGGTGATAATTCTGTCTACCGGCCGTGTGACGGGACGGAAGGCCATTTTAAACCAGGCTTGCCTGCTCATAAGGAACGGGGTTTTTTTTTAAATCATAAAACAACTTCAATTACAGAATTTTGTAAGATCCTCATCTTGGATATTGTGGTCCTGACCAGCCCCTGGATGGAAGTGGATGAGGGGGATGTAGGGTTGAGGGTTGACCCGTTTGGAGCTTCCCAAAAGAAGTTGTAGGATTTAAGTATAGTTGTAAATCAACTCAAAAGAACGGCAAAGCTTTCCCAACAAGTGGGATTTAGGATTGCCAGCTGTGGGTTGGGAAATACCTGCAGATTTGAGGGGGTGGATCTTAGGGAGGGAGGGTTTTGGGGAGGGGTGGGACCCCAGTGGGGTACAATATCATAGAGTTCACCCTCCAGGAGGCCATTTTACTCCAGGAGACGTGATCTCCGTAACCTGGAGAACAGTTGTAATTCTGGGAGACCTCCAGCCACCAGCTGGGGACTGGCAACCCGAATTTGGATTCAGGAATAAATATCAAGCAAAGCCAGTTGAGAAGGGTGGGACCTCGCCAGTCCAAATTGGGGGTCCATCTGCCTCCCCCCTCCCAAGCTGAGTTAGATCCCTGATTTATGCAGACATTTCAACTTGATTTCCAGCAATTGGAAGCTGCTGCTCGGAAGGGTTTTGTGTGACGGCTCTACGGTGTGGTTGAGTGTTTTTTAAAAAAAATAGTTTAATTATTATTATTATTATAATTAAAAGAACTGTATATTATTTAAGTTATCCGTACTTCACTGCAAGCTCCCAACCCTGCTCTAAGAAGATTGAAGAATGTAAGCCTGGACAGCAGAATCTGGCGCCACGTCATCAACGTGGTTTCTGTTGGGACTGAGCTATCGCGTGTTCTGTTGTGGTCATTTCACATTAACAAGGGGAGGGGGAGAACCCGAACTGACGTCTCAATGTGTTTGGGCACGAACAACACAGGTCGGCTGGCAAACTTTGCCACGCCTTCCTTTTGGAGATGCTGAAATCTGTCATGTAATTCTTTTAGTGTGGAGCGCAACGTTGCAAGGAACTCAGGGCTCCCGCTGGAAATGGCAGCCTTGTGTCAAGTACTCCTAATTGCTGTCACTTAGAATGGAGCTCAGATTTGCAAGGAACTCAGGGCTGCCGCTGGAAAAGGCAGTCTTGTGTCAAGTACGCCTCCTAATTGCTGTCATGTAGAGTGGAGCTCAACATTGCAAGGAACTCAGGGCTACCGCTGGAAATGGCAGTCTTGTGTCAAAGACACAAAGGCTCAGATTTGCAAGGAACTCAGGGCTACCCCTACCATTTGCCATCACTTAACCCATTCCTTCAGGATTGTTGCCCATTTCCTTGCCTCCACACCCGCAGTAGGGAGCGATGTGCATCATGGAAAGACCCAGAGGTCATTTCGGGAGGGAACGTGGGGGATCGCAGTTGCCCCAGGTGAGGTACGGGGGGGGGCGGCGCACATGATGAAGCCCCGCCCCCTGCTTCCGGCCGCCCCGCTTCCGGCCCTCATTCAGCCAGGAGGAGGCAGGAGAAGAGGGAGGGTAAGTTGTTTCCTCCCTGCCTCTCCCCACTCCTGCCTGCCTGGGGCCAGGGAGGGCCTTGGCGGGGCTTCCTCACACTCCTGCCGGCCTTGCAGGTCCACCGCCGGGCCCCTCATGGGGCTCGGCAGTGGAGCTGCAAGACTGGCGGCGGCAGCCAGGACCGTTGGGGGCGGGGTGTGTGGCCTTATGACACACTTCTGGTGATGTCAGGGGATATGGCCTTATGACACACTTCCGGTGATGTCAGGGGGCGTGGCATATGCTAATGAGTTATGCTAATGAGTTTCCCTAGCTCTTTTTCTACGAAACGACCCCTGGAAAGACCTGACACACGTAGTACTAGATGTCACAGAAAGGATAAACGAGACACAAGACTGATGTTTTCAGCAGCAGCTCTGCGTGTCCTTTAGTGTCAGGTCTCTCCCTAACAGTGCAGACCTAAGCAGTTACACCCTGCTAAGCCCATTGACTACTTAGGATTACCCTGCCAATCTCTTCCAGTTAAACGCTTCCTGCGGGTTGGGCGACTTTTGTGTTTTTGTTATTAGAGAAGGGCGAGAAACGAGAAGACCACCTCTTGCAACCGCGACCGTTATAAGCAGAGACTCTTTGGCTTTTCCTTTTGTCGTCTTATGTTTTAATAAGATATATAAATAAATCTGTATATTTAGTCACATTGTATACACAGCCGCCCCCCGGGGGCACGCATATAGAGCTGTAAACATATCATGTGCACCGCACTAACTGCCAAAACGACCTGGCACGGGATCCGCCGGCTGGCGAGGGGAGTGTTGACTTCTTTATGGAGCTGGATTGGCATTGGCAGCGATAAAAAATGTGGAAAATCACTCCTTGCAATGTTTTGAGTCTTTCTTGAAGCTCTGTTTAGAAGCATGAAGGGCGCATGGGACCCCTTGGATGACCGAATTGTTGCTTAGGTGCGACGCAGGCTGAATGCTCTCCATATCCTAACTGTGGTTAAAAGACTGGGAATTAGTATACTCCAGACTCCATCTTGCATGTCCCTCTTTCCTTCCTGGTTTGCTTTAACCCCCCCAGAGCGTATTGCGACAGTACACCAACTAGCTACATGGAATGTTCTAGGGTTTGCCAGGTCTGGGTTGGAAAATACCTGGAGTCTATAGTAGCAACACCAACTAGCTATGTGGTTCACTCGGTGCAATGTTTTGAGTCTTTCTTGAAGCTCTGTTTAAAAGCCTGAAGGGGCGGATGGGACCCCTTGGATGACCGAATTGATGCTTAGGTGTGACGCAGGCTGAATGCTCTCCATATCCTAACTGTGGTTAAGAGACTGGGAACTAGCAGGGCTCTTTTTGTAGAAAAAGCCCAGCAGGAACTCATTAACATAATAGGCCACACCCAACAGCAGGAACTCATTAGCATATTGGGCCACACCCCTGACAGCACAGCTCATTAGCACATTAGGCCACACTCCCATGTTACCAGAAGTGTGGTCATCCAGCCACACCCACTTTTTGCTTGTTATTCTGTTTACCTTGTTTGTTGTCAAAACCCAGGGCTTTTTTTGGAGCAGGAGCTCCTTTGCATGTTAGGCCACACACCCCCAACGTAGCCAATCCTAATCAGTTTCTGCTGTTGGGTGTGGCCAATTATGCTAATGAGTTCCTGCTGGGCATGGCCAACTTGGGAGCCAGCCGGAACTCCGTTCCTGCGCGTTCCTGCCCAAAAATAGCCCTGGGAACTAGTATACTCCAGACTCCATCTTGCAAGTCCCTCTTTCCTTCCTGGTTTGCTTTAACCCCCCAGAGCCTATTGTTATAGTAGCAACACTGACTAGCTAAATGGAATGTTCTAGGGTTTGCCAGGTCTGGGTTGGAAAATACCTGGAGACTTTGGGGGTGGATCCAGGAGAAGGTGGGGTTTGGGGAGGGGCCTCAGCATGGCACAATGCTACCCTTCAAGGCAGCCATTTTCTCCAGGGGAACTGGTCTCTTTCGTCTGGGGATCACCAGGTCCCACCTGTTTTCTCTCCTGGAGAAAATGGCTGCCTTGAAGGGTAGCATTGTGCCATGCTGAGGCCCCTCCCCAAACCCCACCTTCTCCTGGATCCACCCCCAAAGTCTCCAGGTATTTTCCAACTCAGACCTGGAAACCCTAAGAGAGGGAGCATTGCCTGGCACCAGTGTTCCCTCTAAGCTGAGTTAGTGTGAGCCAGCTCACAGTTTTTCAGCCTCTGGCTCACACATTTTTGCCTTCGCTCCAGAAGGATGGCTCCAGCGCAAACTAATTTACGCAGTAGCCAAATCACCCGCTCACAACGTTAATGCCAGAAGCTCACAAAGTAGAATTTTTGCTCACAGGACTCCACAGCTTAGAGGGAACATCGCGGCACCTTAAAGACCAACACGTTTATTGTGGCAGAAGTTTCATGAGCCAAAGCCCACATTTTCAGTTGTACGTTAACGCACTTGGACTCTGGATCGGACTGGCGGATTCTGGCTCACAGACGCTTTTGCCATAATAAGCCACTTGGTCTTTAGGATGCCGCGAGACTGTTATTGTGACCAGATGAGAAAAGAAGCTTAATGCGCCATTGCACTGAGGTTTGCTTTCTTGCAGTGTTGACTCAAGAAATGGGCACATTCCTAATATCAGGCCCAAAGCTACAGTGGGGCCTCTTCGGGCCTGCCCCCCTGACTTACTACCGAGGCCCCCTGACTTCCCATCCAGCCCAGGCTCCCCGACTTTCATTTTTTTATTTTATTTGTGGCGCTCTCTTGGGGGGTTCTGGGGGTGTCTGTGCGGGGTGCCCCCAACTTATTTAAAGGCCCCCTGAATTTAAAAATCCCGGCTACGGGCCTGCCTACCATAGAGGGGGGAACATGAACGGAGAAATGACAGTGGTGGTAAATGGTGCGTGCACAATGCTCTGTACAAAACTTGAACTCCGGGTTCCAGAATCCATTTCAGAAATCCTCCGAGTGGGTTGCAACGGAAGAGGATGCAGGCTTGGAGAAACAACGGCTGAGGGGTGACATGACCGAGGTTTATAAGACGACGCATGGGATAGA